GGTTTGCCAAATACGCGCGGCGTTCCGGGCCTGCGGCTCCCATCCCAGCGCAGAGGCTGCAACCGCTACTGCAAAGCCGGGGGATTGCACGGTGACCCCAAGTCCTGGTCTTGAGTGGGTTCATCGCTCCTCATCTGCCCAACCACGTTTTCATGCTGAACAAGATGCAAGCTGAGCAAACAGACTGGTTTTATCCTCGAAACAGTACACAAGTGCACTCCGCTGTATTCACTGTGCGTGATCATGGACTATTTCAATATATGGATAAGTACGCCTCCTGCGCCGCAGCCTACCTATATTCCGCGTCTTACTAAAAAGTCCTCCAAAATCACAGCCACTGTAGTGTGTGTGTACGAAGTATGATTTTCAAAGGCTCAAAACTCATTCAAATCAGAATCAATTTGCAGAGGAACCCTCAAAGGCACTTCTTCTCAATGAGGGAGGTTTCCCTACCAAATTTCAAATTTCAGCTCTAACCATTCCAGAGACAGAGTCGATCCAAAAGAAAAGCAAGAAGAATGTTATTTTAAGCATATGCATTTTCCACTCCATGGATACTTGGAAAATGAGTGAACGATTTATGACAGGTTTTTTTAATATGTAAAATTGTGAGAAAAAGATGAATCTAGAACGATCACGCATAAAAATGAAGATTTCTAAAAATGGTGGATAAGCGCTTGTAGATTCACTGTCATCACCCAGGCTATGGCAACTTTAAGTAAAATATCCTCAAGATATGAAGCCAAATATTTGAATGTTTTTTTTAAATTAAAGAATACTTGGAAGACAATTTCATAAAATGCACAGTCCATGATGATAAATGCACTGGGTAGTTACAAGAATTAAGATCTTGTTTTACAAATAAAAAGGAAAAGTAGTGTTATGTTTTAAAGGACTGAAGGCATTGAAACCAGACATTTCTGTAGCAGCTACTGAAACAAGATGCCATGGAAAATTGGTGTCTTTGAGAAAGCAAATGTGGAAAAAAGAGCGGAAGGGAAGTAGACAGTATTTTAGGTTTTCTAGGAACCTTTGAGTGCTCATTTCTACTGCATGCTTTATTTAAAACCTTTTTCTCTTTAAAAAGAGAAGGTCCAATATATCAATAAAGTGTTTCAGACAGTTTAGTGTTTTGTATCAAAGCAGCGTATTTGAAACCTCCAAGATTTCACTGAAACGCTTGGCTGCAATCACATTCAGTAAATATGGGAAACTATCTTTGCTTTTTTAACAGGATGTTATGTTTGATATTTTAGGTTGGCATGACAACTGAAGAAATAGATTCCATTGTTCATCATGAAATAATCAGACAGAATGCCTATCCGTCACCTCTGGGCTATGGAGGTTTTCCAAAATCTGTTTGTACTTCTGTAAACAACGTGGTATGTCATGGTATTCCTGACAGGTATTTCCCCAATAATATACATTTTACCACCGGGAATGAAAATGTTAAACTGAAATTAATAAATGTTGTTTAATATTGAACATACTTCAGCTTAACTAAATGTCATATGTAAACATATTGCAGATGCGTATCATGTTACTGCATGATGCTGATAGACGTTATAGAAATATATGTGAAATAGAAAAAAAAATATTGTCCTGTTTGTCCAGACACTTAAAAAAAAATAGCATAACACCTTTAGTGTGTGGAAAAAAAAAAACAAACAGTACAGTCTGATTTTTTTTTTCTCCTCCAGCAAAATAAGTATAGAGTAAGGAATAAATGTATTTGAATTTATGTGTTGGGGTTTTTTTTATTTGCAATGCATTCAGCTGCTCACAAAGTAAAATATGAACCCTAGTGAGAGAAAAAGAATAAATATAATGGTAGATTTTTCAGGTGTTGATATGTCTTTCTGGTAGTTGTTTCTCATTATTTTATATTCAGCTGCGCTTGTTCTCTAAGTAGTGAGAGCTGAACATTAAAAATGGTTATTCTGTTTGCCTCTGCCTTCCTCCATCACAAAATATCTACCCCCTGATTTTTTATGTATGTGTCATTAGGTGTTTATTCTTACATTCCCTTTGTTGGGAACTGTCTGTCACCATTATTTTTTTTTTTTTTCTGTTTATGTTTCAGTCGACCTCTTCAGGATGGAGATATTATCAACATTGATGTCACGGTGAGTAATTCATATAAAAAATAGTCTTTGATCAACTTTAGAATCACTAGTAGCAACAGGAAGAATAGTGGATTGGAGATGGGGGATGCACAGATGGATGTGCTGTTTACTTCTGAGCCAAGGCACAAGCAGCTGGTTTCCTTTTTTTTGTTTTTAACTGTGTGTTTATTCCAGCTAGACCCAGGCCTGACTTGAATTTAGGACTGGAATCAGATGCACTGAGATCAATGTTGGCCTAAGTGAAATGTCAACCCAATCCTGCTATGTGTCATGTTTTTGAGAAGGTGTAATTGTTATTGATCCACTGTGTAGTTAATGCAGAGCACCACAGTACTGGGCAGCAGCTGAAGATAGATATGTATGAGATGAGCTAACATGAAGAAAGCCAGCATTTTTCCTTCACTCTGCCAAGATTGATCTTCCTCTT